ATATATGTTAAACTACAACTGATAAACTTTATTTTAATATAAAAATAAAAATTATTTCTTATTAAATTATAAATTTTAATATAGAGAGAAAATTTCAATTTTCATTATATTTTATTAGTAAATTTAACTCCTGAGTTATTACTTTTGGTCACCACTGTATTATATATTTAAATTTTTTAATTTTATTAATTAATAATTATCTTTTAAATTATTAAATATATTAAAATATATACTAAAATATTTTTAATTCAAAATAAAAATCTAAAAAAAATTATTTAAATATTAATAATTAAATCTAAGTTATAATTAAAATTCTAACTTTTTTATATTATAATTATAAAAAAAATTATATTATTATTAGGAATGATTCTTGAATAATTTTAAATAAAAATTTATTAATAATTTAATTATATAGATATTTGAACAATATATTTAAACTGCTTTAGATATTAATTCTAATTATTATATTAATACTTTATAAAATATTTTATATTATATTAAATAATTAATATCAAACTAATATTAAAATCAAATTAAAATAAAAATTAATATATTTTATTAACTAATTAATTTTTAATAATTTCAAGTTCATTAAGTAATAATAAATATAAAAATATATTTGCTTATTGATTTCTTTTTTATAAGATAAATTATTTTCAAAATTAAATTAATTATTAATAATAATATACTATATATTAATTATTAAATCAATAAAATTATTTTTATTTATTTATTTTATATATATATATTACTTTCTTTTATCAATGTTATCTAAATACCTGTAATAATGTCATCTTTTAATTATTTTCACCATATGAGAATTATAATATTTGAAAGTTCTATCAAGCTTTCTTTAAAATATTAATAAATATATCATCAGCTTAATCATCTATCATTTGTTTCAACTATTTTAACTGATCTATTTATATTTCAAAAGAATATTGTTGGCGCTTCTAACTGCATATACAATGTCAAAAATGACATATGTGATAACTATATGTGATAGTGAATATATTGCAGAAGTTGGATAATCTATATCTTTATTATTAGTTGACCAATAACTTGTATGTATCTCGAAATTTTTCACATTACCCTCCCAATTCTAATAAAAAAAATTAAAATCACTTCGCAAATTTATTATTTTCACGATTTA